GGATCCCCGTCTCCTGTCTGGCCCTCTAAACTCCCCCCCCCATCCCACTCTTGGGGCCCTGAACCCTCCCCCCCCCACACACCTGCCCAGGAACCCAGCCCCGTTGTGCTGTGTCCTGACGACCTCACCCCTGCCTGGGACCCAGGTGATTCCCCCTCCCCCTTTGTCTGAGGAAGGGGAACTCTGGTGTCCCAGTGCCCGTGTCCCCAAGTCCCTTTCTGTCTGGGGCAGGAGAGCTTCATTCCAACAGGAACTGCGATCCATTGAAACAGTCTTTGTTTGAAATGATAGACCTTTACAATGAAAGTACAAAGGGTTATGGCCTAAATGTATCATCATCTAGTTAAATAACTTATGAAAAATTAAATAAACATGCGTCCTGCCACCTTTTAAAGAAATTCTACCAGTTCACTGGTGTAAGTTGCTGTGTAAGCACCTGGAACTGGTGTTTACATCAGCAGTAGCTGCTTCTGCAGGTGAAGAGAGAATGTTTTTATCGCTTTGGTTCATTCAGCTAGCTCAATTTTATTCACCGTTGCAAAACCGAGAGTTGACGAAGCAGAAAAACTTTTCTACTTCTCTCAGTAAAAAACTGGTTATGAGAGCATTCTAACATCTTGAAGAACATGATGACTAGAATCCATCTGGTAAATTCACCATGGATATTTCCTTTGTTTAATCAATGAATTTTAGCTGCAAAATGTGTTTGGATACTTTTTTGTTATGTGTCCTTCACATTTAAGGTAGTTTTATTTCATACAAAAATTAAATACTGGTTTTGTTTATTTTAAATTGAATTTCTGTTCAGACAGAAGTAGATGCACATCGTATGTTTTAAAAAAAGTAGCCACCATTTAGCAAATAATAAATGGGGTAAAACCTGTCTCTTAAGTGTTCCACTTATATACCATTTTGTAATAGAATTAAAATGTAAAAATTAAGAACCTGATTGCCTGTAAGTTACACAATTATTTGGGCATTTATTTAGTCGGTAGCTGTACTGAGTGTATTCTCCTGGTTAGTAAATAGAAGCACCAAATTTGGCATAAAGGTTATATTTAGTTGTAAAGCAACATGTTTTAATGGTTGCTGATCAATAAGACTCAACCATCCTTTAGGAAAATATTTTAAAAGTGTCATTTAAATGATTACTTGCTCCTTTAAACCAAGGTTTTCTGCTCGCTGATTTAAATCAAAGCTATTTAAATCAATCCACCCTGCTTCAGAGGCTGTTTGGGCCATCCCTGAAGGAGAAAGCACAGGGCTGCGCTCATGGAATAGGGCCTAGGCTAGTGGGGTTTTGTTGTCTGGTGCCTGTCTTGTTCTGGACAGTTGAGCTGGGGAGTTGAAACAAAAGTTCCCTTAGTCCCTTTGAACTGTCTCATTGTACAGTGAGGCTGAGTCTTGTCCACAAACACCAAGAGTTGGGCAGCTTGTGTGTTGGGGTTGGAGTCTGAGTGATTATAAGGCTTCCAGTAATAAAACCCCTCGCAGAGTGAGGAGTGGGACTGGGATTCCAGCACTAGGAGATGTGAACAGCTGCCTGCCTTGGAAATCTGTTAGGGTCTGTCTACACTACCCCGCTAGTTCGAACTAGCTGGGTAGTGTAGACATACCCATACTGACTTGCTGTGGATGAACCTGCCCTCTCATTGTCTTCACGTGGGGAGCCCCTGGCGCTCTCCTAGGAGATGAAAATGCCCCGGGGTTTGGGCTCCCCCCGGAGCGCGCACCCCACCCCCAGGAAGCTGCATTTGTGCGTGCACCCTCCCCGGACAAAAGAAGTGGGGGCGGCAAAAAACCTAGAGCTGACCCTGGCTGCAGAGCTAGCGTAGGAACCCTGACATCCTGGGCGCCAGGCTGCCGCACAATGTCCTGTCTGATGGATTTGGGTCCTGGTTCAAGTGTATGGGGGGGGGGCATTAAGGGAAGAGCCCCGGGACCGTTGATGTCTTGTGACAAAGGAGCTGGGTTGGGGCTCCAGACACCCCGGCTCAATTCCTAACCCTGACATTGACTCGCTGGGGGACCTTGCTTCAGGCCTGCTCCGTGCCTCAGTTTCCCATTCAATTGAGTTGGGGATAATCACCCCTGCTCGTGGAGGATGTGCTTCTGGGTAGGCACAGTGCCTTGTGTGCTCAGGGCTCGGGGCCCAGTCCGGGGAAGGGGAGAGCCCCAGATGAGAAGTGGCACTCCCAACAAAGGAAAGGCCTACACCCCATCCCCCACTACACCCAGGGAAGCGCAAAGAAACATTTCCCTTGCTTGGAGCAGGGCAGGGATGCTAAGGAAGCCAGTGATCCAGGCAAAAAATCTGGCCCCCAAAGAGACAGAGCTAGACCCCTTTAAATACAGCCACAATCCGTTTATTGGTGACCCTGTAAGCCCTTCCCCATGGTGAGCGTCGAGGCTCTGACACTATTTACACTGGGACGGGCAGCTGCAGCCGCGCTGCCTGGGAAATGCTCCCGGGATCCTCACCCGCAGGCTCCAGGGCATGTGCTCAGCACAGGGGTCAGGAAGGGGAATATTGCACGGGGCCAGAGGTCTTTGGTAGCAGGGACACCAGGCAGAATGGGGGCTGATTGGGGAAGTGGGGGCAGGCTCCGGAGCAGACCCTAGCTCCCCAGCAGGCCTGTGAGACACTCATTGACCCCCCCATTTTCTCTGTCAGGGCTGGGGGGGGCCTCATTATCGGTGCTGGCAAGATGGCGGAGCAGAGGGCATCCCGAGGCCCACCCGCCCCATCGTGGCGTCCCACGCATCGGTGGCCATCTTGTTGCACCGTCTTCCACAAGCAGCCAAGTGTGGGGGGCAGGAGGGGCACAGACTAAGCATCCCTTCCCGACGCCTATGGGTCCTGACGTTGAGG